ACCAATGTAATAATGAGAATCAGACCAAATCAAACCGAATTAGATAACGTGCAGGTTTAATGGACACCAGTGCTCTTGGGTGGCATTCCAGCCCCAGAGAGGAGATGAAAAGGAAGAGCGGAAAACCATGTTTGGTCTCTGGGTTGATGTTTAAATACCCTGTGGGAGTGGTCTTGAGCATCTCAGAGGAGGGGGTCATCATTTGGCAGACTTTTTTGGGGGTGGAGCCTGGACTGAGGCAGCTCCCAGGGAAGGGGGCTTGGGATGGAACTTCCACCCAAACATTCCAGACTGTTTGGGTATATGGAAGCCAAGGGCTGGGGTGAAGCCTTAACCCAAACAGCGGGAGATAAGGAAAGCAGCAATTCTTGAAAGACTGGTCAAAAGGGAAGAGGGCTTCCCAAGAGCTTCCATCAGACAAGGATTCCAGCTACTTTCCTGGCAAGATGCGGGAGAGAAGAGCCAGAGTGAAACAGTGCCTCATCTTGCTCGACTTGACCCCAGAAATTGGAGCAGGGGAGAAAGGAAGAGAGTGAGGAGAAAGGACAGGTCTGTGTCTGTGCTCTGCTCACCTCCTTTGTCCTAGGGAGGTCTCAGCTCAGGCCCCCACCAGGTTAAGAGAAGCAACTTCGAACTGATGGACTGTTAGCCGCTTTAATATTAAGTTAGGCTAGATGATAGGGCCCCTGGAAGTTCGGCCATTGGAAAACCTCAAAATGACAATAAAATATTGAAGGCCTTCTCCAGATTATGGCCAAGGAACAAAGCAAAAATTGGGCCTTATCTGGACAGAGTGGCAAGTCTGTTGAATTACAGCACTTAGGAGGCAGGGACAAGCAGATCTCTGTGATTTCAAGAACAGACTCGTCTAGATAGCAAGTCCTTGGTCAGCCGGGGCTAAATAATAAGTTCCTTTCTTGAAGTGTCAAAGTAAGAGAGAGAGAGAGAGAGAGAGAGAGAGAGAGAGAGAGAGAGAGAGAGAGAGAGATATGGGGGAAGGGATGTAGAGAAATGGCTCAGTGGTTAAGTGCACTGGCTGCTCTTCCAGAGAACATGGGTTCAATTCCCAGCAAACAGATGGTGGTTCACAACTATCTGTAACTCCAAAGCCAGGGGGATCTGATACTCTCCTCTAGCTTCTGGGGGCTCTAGGCACACATGTGTTGCACAGCATACATACAGACAAAACATGCATTCACTTAAAACAATAATAAAATAATTTAAAACAATAAAAAGGCCAAAAAAGAAGGCCCAGTCACACATAAAACAAATAAAAAATAAAGCTGTTTTGTGCTCTGAGTTCATTTTAGAAGATGTTTGTAACATACATTGATTTGTTTATAGTGCATCTGTGTGTGGGTGGGTCATGAAAGCCAGGGGTTAGCTTGCAGAAGCCAGTTCTCTCCTTTCTCCATGTAAGTGCCAAGGATCCAAGTCAGGTCATTAGACTTGGGGGTAAGTACCTTATTAGCTGCACCTGTGTATTGGTCCCCAGACTTATATTTAAAACTCTTCTGTTGTGCTTTTTTTTTTAATTCACTCTGCTTTTTTAAATAATATTTTATTTTAGAATTTCAGATGCAAGGCAAGTTGCCAGCTACAGAGTTCCTATACATCTTTCCCAGAGTCTCCTCCTATTATCATCTCACATTCCTAAGCTTCTTTGTCACAGCGAAGGAGCCACAGGGTCACACTGTTGCTAACTGTAGTTTACACTGTACTCATATTCTCTTCCTTTGATTTACTGTCATTTCTCTGTCCCCAGATCCTGTTACATTTGTCCCTCCTATCTCCTTAGGCTCTTCTTGGCCTTGGCAGTTGCACAGGCTTTCTTTGTTTTCACTAACCTTGACAACTTTGAGAACTCTGGCTAAGGATTTTATAAAATGTTCTTCAGTTGGAATAGTGCGTGTGTGTGTGTGTGTGTGTGTGTGTGTGTATGTATGTGTTTGTGTGATGTGCATGAACGTCTGTATGCATGTTCACACATGTGAGAGGTTTTGTGCATGAATGTGTACATACGTGGAGGCCAGGGCTGACAACAGTTATCTTCCTCTATATTTCTTCACTTTATTTATTGCACAGGGTCCCTCATTGAATGCAGACTTTGAAGACTCTGTTAGTCACCTAGTCCCAGGGATCCCCTGTCTCTACCTCTCAAGACCTTGAATTAGAGATGGGCCACGACGCTTCCATAGCTTACCAGACATATTTTCTCTGATATATAAGCTCCCCCAAACAACACTACCAACTGGGAGCTGAGTATTCAAATGCCCAAGACTGTGGGAGACATTTACCATTAGATAACTACAGACAAGGAGCCACCATCTTAATGACTGATGACATTGACCTTGGTCACTGTCTGAGGATGCATTTGTCACATTTCTCAACTTTGAAGTTATTTTCTTTCATTTCTCCTTTCTGAATCTGTATACTTTGGAAAGGGGTCAATGGTTCAGCCCATCCTTTGGGATTGAGGAGCTTGTGTTGTCCATCTAGTCTTAGGATTAAAGCTTGTTACATAGTGTATGGTCAGTTTGTCCGGGGCTACCTCATTAAAGAAAATGGACTTCCCCTCTCCTAGCATCTATAAAATGTCAGTAGCTCCTCAGTTAATAGTGGCAACATTCCCTCCTCTATGCTGGATTTTGTCTGGCTGGAGCTCGAACAGGTTTCATACATGATGTCATAATTCACCATGAAATTCATAAGTTTATCTGACCTGTTGTGTCTGGAGAACTCTATTTACTTGAAATTATCCACCAAATGTGGCTCTTATGAATCTTTCTGCCTCCCCTGAAAAGACCCCTGAGCCTCTGAAGGAAGGGTGTGATATGAACATCCATAGCATTTTGTTCTCTGCACAGTGGCCAACTGTGGGGTTTTGTGTTGCTTGCTATCTACTGCAAGAAGCTTCTCTGATAGGAGTTGAGAGATTCTCTGTTCTACAGGTATGGTCATAAACCATTCCCTTAATATTACGTCCATTTGACAGAAAAATATTGGATTCTCCCTTGGGGCCTATGACCCATTTAGCCAGATTCTTGGCCCCTTTAATAGTGTTAGGTATAGGTTCCATGTCATCCTTTGTGGATAGATATAGACTATTTCCAGTCCTGGATTATTACAAATACAGCTGATTTGTACACTTTTTCATAGTTTTTTTTTTTTTTGGTTTTTCAAGACAGAGTTTCTCTGTAGTTTTAGAGCCTGGAACTAGCTCTTGTAGACCAGGCTGGACTTGAACTCACAGAGATCTACCTGCCTCTGTCTCCCAAGTGCTGGGATTAAAGCTGTATGCCATCACCGCCCGGCTTCTTTCATAGTTCTTGTGGTAGATGGATGTATTCATTTTCCCTGACGAATACTTAAGTGTATACTTGCCAGAACCAAGGGTAGGAGTTCTGGTAGGAGTTCTGCAGAGAAACAGCACAAATGAGATGGATGAGTGATGGATAGATAGGTAGGTAGTTAGACAAAGAACTAAAGAGATGAGAGAGAGAGAGAGAGAGAGAGAGAGAGAGAGAGAGAGAGAGACTCCATTCCTGGTACCAACTTTTGTATTAGTTACCTTTGTAGTTGTGATAAAATGTCTCAAGTTACAGAAGGGAAAATTTGCACTCAGGATTCTAGAGGGAGAAGCTGTAATGTTGGGGGTAGGGATACATGGCCCCAGGAGGCTGGAGCAGGAACCGGAAGCAGGAAACTGAGACATTTCAATGGCAAGCATGAAACAGAAATAGCAAACTAAAAGTTACATAAGGTTGGAACTCTCAAAATCCGATACCTCTGATGTACTTCTTCTAGCAAGGATCCACCTCTGAAAGGTGCCATTACCTCCCTGAAACAGTACTGCTAACTGGGGACCAAGTGTTCAAGTCCATGAACCTGGGGAGCGACATTTCTCACTCAAAGCACCACAGATAGATATACTAGACAGACAGATGGATGGATCGATGGATGGACGGACGAACGGACAGATGGATGGATATGTACAAAAATAGATCGAAGGAAATTTATTATGAGAATTGACTCAAACAACTATGCAAGTGAGAAGTCCCACAATATGAAGTCCTCCCTGAAGACCCAGGGACATCAGAGGTTGACTTCACCTTGAGTCTGAAGGCCAGAATATCAGGACCTCAAGTAACTCATAGCAGAAGAGGATGTTACAGGTATGGAAAAGAATGTGAACTTATTCTGTTCTAACCATCAATAGATTTGGGGATACACAAATCTTACATCTAATGTGATGGGTTAATATCTAATCTCCAACAACTTCTCTCAGACACGCGTACTGTGAATAAAGAAATAAGGTTGTACCAGCAATCTGTGTATCCCCCAATCCAGTCAAGTTAGCACATAAAAATCAACCACTCTACCATCTGGGCTCACACCAGGCAGCTCAGCTGTGAGGTCTGATCCAAGCTGTCAGTCATTTGAGTCTATACTTGAAGGTCACCCACATGCAGAAAGAGCCATTTCCCAAGTGTCTTTTGTATCCAGAAGCAACCATTTCTTTCCACCACACACTCAAATAGACTATGGAATTTGTTGTTAGTATTGATTAATTGTACATAGCAATGGGTCTCATAATATTTTCATTCATAAATATACACATATATATGAATATGATCTAGGTCCCCGGATGACCAAAAAATGCAATGTTTGCCTTTATAAATCTGGCTTATTTCAATAAAAACAATGATCTCCAATTCCATCTGATTTTTCGAAAATAATAATTCATTCTTCTTTACAATTCTATAAATTTCCATTGTGCATACAGACCACAGTTTCTTTATCCTTTTTTATTCTTTATTTTTTATATTTTATATATTTTGCTTTATATTTATTTTTTTTTCAACTGCTGATGGACAGTCGGGTTGAGTCTGTCACTTGACGACTGTATGAGGTGCTGCAGTAAACACAGATGTGTAGAAATCCCTGTGGCACACTGACTTAAGTATTCCCCTTTTCCTACAGCTTCACACTATACTTACAGTCCTTTTCTTGGGTAGCTACCATCCATAGGAGGCTGTGTCATTTTCTTTCAGGACACAAAGCAATGCCTGAAGCATAGCAGACACCCTGTACTGTGTATGAGGCCTATAGGAAAACAAATCATAGTTCATTCCATTTAGTGAGGACATACTATGTGCTAGAAATAGGATACAGAACTTGGTGATATCTTCAGGAATCTCCGCGTACCTGGTTAGCCAGCAAAGCTCTTCAAGTCTAGGTTGAATTTCTCAGTCGAGGCCTGCTCTCACCTTCTGACAGGAAGGGCTGGGCAGGAGGGCTCCCTGGAGGAGGAGACACATTACTACCTCTCCTGGGCTTCTCTTCCACTTCTCTGACTCAGCATTACCGTGGCCCCCTCATCCCCCGCTTGCCCCTTGCATGCCAGTGAGGCATAGTGTCTGGCTAGACCAGAGCTTGCAGACCAGCCAGCACCAACCCACAGACAGGTTTTATTTGGCCCACACAGTCACATTTTTTTATTTGAATTTATTTTAGCATTTAAAAGCTAAAGGATTTTGCTTTAAAAATATCCAGATTTCTGTCTTCATTTGGAAATTTGGAACATCTGGTGAGGCTGGGTCCCTCTTCCCATATGGTCAGCACTGGCTGAAACTAAATGGCCCCGACCACGTGGTCAATCCCAGCTTCTCTACACCCAGCCTGAATTAACGCCTGTGGAGCCTGAGGTCATTTGGGAATGGTGTCCCCATCTGGGGACTCCAGAATCCCACAAGGGCCATCTGGGAATAATCCCTCCATATCACTTCCAGGAGAAACAGGGAGGATACAATGATAGGTGGAGGTCAAGCCAACCAACCTATATTGGATGTGCTACAAATCTCTGGTATAATAGGACAGGTGTCTTAAGTTTAATCAATACAGGCTAAAGCAGTTCCCCAAAGAGGCTGCCTTCTGGGACCAAACCACACATTCAAGAGGCAGAGAGATGGAGACAAAAGAAAGAAAGGGGTAGATGCAGAAAGCAAACAATTCAAGTTCTCTCTGTGTGTCTCTCTGTCTCTGTCTGTCTGTCTCTGTCTGTCTGTCTCTGTCTGTCTGTCTCTCTCTTTCTCTCTCCTTTTGCTAGCCCTTTCCTATCAACCTGGACAAGAATCGAGATGGACACCTTTTACTCTCTCCATTACTGGGTATTTCAGAGGCAAAGACTAAAGACTATTCCTTTTCCACACCAAGAGGGACCCCCGTGCAGCATCCTGGGAATGTTAGTTCTAGTTCACACAGTGAAGGCCGGGGTGATGATATCACAGTGGTCAGGACCCCCGCCAGGGTCTCTATAAACCCTTCCTCATCTATCTGTGTGACTTTAGTGCCTTCCAATGAGATCCCAAACAAGTATTTTTTTTCTAGAAGATACCTTGAAAACTTTAAGGTGAATGGTGATGGGTGAGGATGGTCTAGACTGCAGCAGTGTGAAGGACGTCTCAAAGACCTGGGAAGCCACCTCATGCAGATGGGATGAGTTCCTACGTGGATAACAGGAGCCCTTACACAAAGCGGGTGGCGGGGGGGGGTGTCCTCTTATAAGAAGTTGATTAGTTCTTACAGCATGTGCAGGTCTTTAAACACATTCTAGAAGGATCTATCCACACAGGAAGGTTCCTGTCCATATACAGGTTAGGACAAAGTGGTGGTGGTGGGGGCTGGGACTTTTATCCAAGCAGAAGCGCTCATTACAACAGAGAACACTCTTAGAATAAAAGTGAGGGATTTTCATTGGCGCGCCTGGGTATTACCTACAAAATGCTGCTCAAATACTAATGACCTTTACACCAAGGTGAAGGTTTTACATAAGGATAAAGAGCTTGTGTGCTTCAGAGAGAAATCACAGTATCCTGCTTCTTGCACCTACGGGAAGAAGGAAGGCTAACCGATTATGTTCTCAGCACAGCTCAGCCCCTAGATACAACTGACTTGAGCAAAGACCCTGCACCTGCTCAGGCAGCAGGTGGGAGCCCGGGAGAGGGCGGAGCAACTGGGCCCACTGCTCACACCGAATTGCCTCTGGTGGCCGCCAGGGGCAGCACCGAGGCGCCTGCCGCACCTCCCCCTCCCCAATCTCCACCCCCCGCCCTCCGGGCTCCTGCTCCCGGGAGCCCCGCAAACCCCGCTCCGCCCGCGCCCCGCACAGCACCGAGGCTCCCGGCCCGGTCCGCCCAGCTGCCCCTCCCCGGGGCCATGGGGGCACCCCCGGGCTACCGACCCTCTGCCTGGGTGCATCTCCTCCACCAGCTGCCCCGCGCTGACTTCCAGCTCCGACCGGTGCCCAGCGGTTTTGCGCCCCGCGACCAAGAGTACCAGCAGGTGGGATGGCAAACAGGGGCAAGGTACCCCGGGAACAGGAGTCTGGGTCACAGTTCCTGCATCTTGGGGGTCGGGGACCCAGCCTGCTTTTGGAGGTACAAGAACATAATTAGAGGTAGAGAGCTCATACCTTGAGGTTCCCCCCTCGGACGTGCGCTGGGAATGCAGACCCCTCTCTTACTAAATAAGAGAAAGCCAAGAGCCTAGACACCCCTCCCCAAGAGTCCTAAATGGGCGGAGATGAGGCCCCAGCATTTGGGTTCCCGAGACCTGCCTTGGAAGCCAGTCTTCAGGGTCATCTAAGGAAAGGTCCGCTCTTGAGGTCCTAGATGAGAAGGACCCCGCCCCTACAGAATCCCAGCTAGTAAATATGTCCCAGAAAAGGGGGTACCTAAGAGAGAGGACAGAGAGCGGGAAGTCTGGGAAGGCAGCTGAAGTCTGGGACCGGGGATTGATATCCTCAAATAGGGAAGAGAGATTTTATGGCCAGGGCTGGGGAATGAGGTGAGGTGAGATGAGGATTCAGGGTGTTTTTGGCCTGCCCCAGGACGGAAGGGGCGGTCAGGGCGTTAGAGAGGATCGGGTGGAGATGAGGTTAGTTTTGGGGATACTAAAGAGAGGCCTGGGTCCCAGGAGGGTGAGGCTGGTAGTGGAACCTCACAGAAGCTGGGTCTCCAGGGAAAGGGGCCCAGCTGCAGCTCTGGGTGGGGGTGTGTGAATGTCCCCTGACCCAGTTTAATTCAAGTCCTTGACTTCAAGATTAATGAGAAAAGCTTGGCTGAGCTGGGGGGCCTGGCGAGGGGGGCTGGGAGTCAGCCCTGCCCTCCCCCCAAATCTGAATCTCTGCGGCTTCTGGGAAAGGGGCACAGGGTTGGGAGAGCTTCGAGGGAGGGGGTGTTCCCAGAAAAGCAGCAAGGGGGAACGTGTGCCGTGTGCTTGCTATTTGGGTCATGGCTGGCACAGCCTGAGCGGCTCCTCCCTGCCTACTCCACCCGCCCCCTCTCCCCTCCAAACAGGGACCGCCATCCCCTCGCCCACAGCCACTTACACAATCACAGCCTCCAGACGGTGGGTCCACCTACTCCCAGCCAGACTCACGGGGCTTATGGCTCCAGAGAGCGCCTCAGCCACGAGGAATCCCCCCCCCCCCCCCCGTGGGCCCCCGGCACCACCACAGTTCACTCAACCTGATCTTCAACAGCCGGAGTCAAAGCTAGGGCACACACAGTCCCATCCCCGGGACATTCTTCCTCATAGAAATGACCACTGTGAACACAAAAAGACGCTACAAGGGTCTCTGGGACAGGACCTTCAGGATCACATGCCAAGGCACATATACACAGCACACTCATGTGTACACCATCACACACATGGGCACACACAAGCACCCCACACGTGACACGTCTACGCCCCCGTCTACACACACACACAAACTCACAAACTCAAAGTCACACGCACATACACTCCACCGTCCACCAACACCACTCACTGACTGAAGAAGCTGTGTTCAGAAAACATCAATGCCCACAAGTGTTGCCTTGCACACAGACATGCAGCATGATCTACACAAACACCTTATATTCACAGCCCATATGCCCTCACCTGGTGGAAGGCAAATTCACAGCCACAGAAACACTGCTCGCACTTGTCACTCATACAGGTGATGTGAAGGACAGGCAGATATGCTACGGTTCAGGGACAATAGTCCCTGGGAATGCAGGGCTGTGATTCCAGATCTCATCCTGCCCATATCCTGCAGTGTAGCTCCAGGCCACCTTGTCCAGCTCTGGGCCTCTGAGAAGACAGGTGACACAGGTCTCCTGAAAGCCCCTATCACATGAAGAGCCTACAGTTCTGTAATTTATTTGAGACAGGGCCTCACTCTGTAGTCCAGGCTGGCTGGAGTTTATGTAACTTGGACTGTCCTGAAACTGTGACAACCTTCCTGCCTCAGCTGCAGAGTGTTGGGGTTATAGGGGTGAACTGCCTTTCCTAGCTCAGAGCTATGATGTTCTGCAAGGTGTTCCCAGCTATGAACACCCTTTCTGCCTGCCTTTCCTTCCCTCCTGCCTTTGGGTCTCATTACATACTACCCTGTCAGTCTCCGGTTTTCTGTAGTTCTTTCTCTGTGTGTCTCGTCATCTCTCTGTGTCTGTCTCTCTTCCCCTTCCCTCTCTCCCTATTTGTGCTAGATCCCTCTGGAATTTTTTTATGTCTTGTCTCCACATCCCTCTTTCTTTTTGCCTTTGTCTCTTTCCTCGCCTGCCTCTTCTGTCTGCCTATTCCTCTCTATTGCTTGATCTGTCTTCCTTCCCTATCTCCATCTCTGAGCCCTGTGTGTATGTATCACAACACACACATGCAAGCTGTCACAGCACCCTGTCCCCATCCCCAGCCCTGGGGTGACAGACTCAACCGCAGTGGGTGTGTGAGCTCAGCAGCAGGAGGGAGATGGGGTAAAGAAGGCTGTCTCTCCTGCTCCCCTGAAGTACGGAAATGGAAGCCTTCCTGCGCCTTCATCCCACACAGTTCAGAGGGAACCTCTGGAAGTCCGTGAGACATGTTGCACTCCTATTGCCTGATTGCGGTGAGGAGGAAACCGAGACTCAGAGAGACGAGGCCCCCTTTGAGGCCGTACAACCTGGGAAGAACAAGCAGGGTCAGAACCCCAAACCTGGGCTCCTTACTTGGATGCTCTGCCTCCGGCAACCTAGCCCTAAATTCTGGATGGGCCTCAGTTGCTAATATGAGAGAGAATAGGCATCTCAACTTTTCCACAACCTGGGTGCCATCAGGGACTGGGCTTCGTGCCCCTGAGCCCCCCAACTGAGGAAGAGCTTTTTGTCTCTGAGGCTTCTCATCACTTCTTCCTCAGGCTCTGCTGCTGGTGGCAGCCTTGGCCGGGCTGGGTTTGGGCCTGAGCCTCATCTTCATCGCCGTCTACCTCATCCGCTTCTGCTGCTGCAGGCCCCCAGAACCCCCTGGGGCCAAGAGTCCCCCACCCGGAGGAGGCTGTGTTATCTGGAGCTGCATCGCTGCCCTTCTCGTGGGCTGGTAATGGGGCCCCAGGATGGGTGGGGAGTGGGGATAGAGCTCCCTACACTTGCTCTCCGTCTTGTTTAAGCTACCTTGGGGTGTGGGCCCTGAGTTGGCGCAGAGAGTACCTGTCTGCTTGGTGAGTGGAGGGCTAGAGGCTTAAGGAGGATGAAGCAGCCAGCCTGGGAGTAGAATTGAAAGCCTGGGATAGGTTTGGGGTTCTCAGTGGTTGTGCTACCTAGGGGAGTGAGATGCTCTCTCTAGACCTCCGTGTCCACATCTATAAAGTGAGTTTTGCAATACTACCCATACCCTCCTTAGTCACACTAAGACTAGAGAGGGCACAGCACCTGGGTCCTAGGGGGTTGTCCTCCGTGTCCGCACTGAACAAAGAGTTATTCATTCACTGAGCTCATTCATTCAACAACTGAACATAACTACCATGTGCCAGACACGGGACATGCCAGCCCAGGCACTCTGTGACTTCAGCCAGAGTTTCAGTCAAGGAAACAGCAGGCCTTACAGGGCAGCAGCAGCACCCTGCTCAGCCCACACCCAAGCTGGGTCTGAGTCTTTTAAGAGCTGTGCTCAAGATGGCCACACCTGGTTCTGATTGAGGGAAGGTTAGGGAGGGAGAAAAATGAATTTTCAAGCCCATATGGTTTAAGAGGCAAGTGGAGATTCAGACTCATGGAAAAAGAACCCTCTCCTCCCACTCCCCCCTCAGGACCCTCAATAGGAACTCCATAGGAGCTTCAGTGAACTTGACACCAAGATTGCTGGCTCTGAGACCAGCCCCTCCTAGGTCATGGTTAGCTGACTTATGTCACATATGAGAATATTCGGGACCTGCTGGGACCTCATGCACAGTTAGCAGGAGCCCTGGTGTCCCCTCCAGCCATCTGGGGGTGTGGCCTGGAATAGTCACTCCAATCTGGGCTCTGGTCCACTCTTCTCATTGTAGGAAAAAGAGGGTGTGTGTTTGGGAGTATATGGGGGCTGGGCACCCTCTGTCCAAGATGTTTTCTCATCAGGCTCTCCAGAATGAGGGTGGCTGAGGGAGGCTGACAAAGGCCCAGTGGGGGAGAGTCACAACCCCAGCCCCCTCAGAGCCTGGGAACAA